AAGAACACGCACAAAAAAACATCCTCCCCAAAAAGGTGATTTCTCCAAGACATGCAGATGTTGTATTTTCAATTCAACAGGCATCAAAGGAGAGGTCTGTCGAAAACCACGTGACATAGGCCTGGTTTTTATGCTGCCCATGACGTTAATTCGTCCGTATACAACGGCACAAAGCCTTTACTGTTGGCCTGTGGAGAGAAAGGGTGGTAAGGATTATTATAATAACCATGACGACGACGACGACGACGACGACGACGACGACAACGACAACGACAACGACGACAACCATTTGCCCAATAATGTTTGAATGATTGATAGTTATAATAACAATAATAGTAATCATACAGGAGAAGAGAAGGAAGAGAAAGAAGGAAAAACAAGAAAGAAGAAAGAAGAAAGAGGAAAGAAGAAAGAAGAAAGAGGAAAAAGACAGAAGACCGATGAAGAAGACAGAAGAAGAAGACAGAAGAAGAAGATAAAGAAGGAAACGATTGTACGAAGAAAAAAAGATACACTCAAGTATGAACATATCGAAACAAGCTAACATAGCGAAGAGAATTATCGATTTTCAGGTCCTGATTGATTTTCAACAATGACGAAAACAAAAGCAATACCAAAGCGCAAACAGCAACAACGACAACGACAACAACAGCATAAGAATCATATTGAACAACAATAACATACAAAACAAAAGGTAACATCAACATCAACATCATCAACATCACCAACATCACCAACATCAACATCACCAACATCAACATCATCAACAACATCAAAATCAACAACATTTTCATCAACATCAACAACAATAACATCATCAACAACAACAACAACAACATCATCAACATCAACAACATCAACAACAACCTCATCAACAACAACATCAACAACAGCAACAACAACAGCAACAACAACAGCAACAACAACATAAAGCAGCAACAACAAACAAAAACCAGCAACAACAAACGACATTGACGAAAGCATCATAAACAAATCAAAGACAACAACAACAGAAACAACAGCAATTGACACCACCTACCAAAAGTCCCAGATGGTGTAGACAGTTGAAGATGGGCTGGGCCTTTTCAAAGTTCATCTGCCAAAGAAGTTTGGCCTTGGGACAGACAAAGAAATAATTATGTGAACGTGCCTGAGAAAAGGGTCAATACGCGCAATTTTCAATGTTCTATCTTTGTAGTCTGTTCCATGTTTACATGATTCTTGGATTACTTGGATTACTTGGATCGAGAGCTAGAATCATAGCAGGCGGCACATGTTCATAGCTGCTCATCTCTCCTTTCCAGCGTCTACCCCAGGGTCTTCATGCTAATTGTCTCCATGAGGAGCTAGTTTGAGAAACGCCTGACCACTCCTCGGAGCAAACTTTTTTTACACACTTTTCTTTTATTGTGCTGAATGTGTGGGAGTCTGTCTCCTCTTGGTCGAGAAGGCTCTCCTTGTATCTGGCGATCACCATTGGTGGGTCGAGCTTGATTCGGCCTTTGGGTGCTGCTTTGACGGCAAGGTCATCATCACGTTCATTTCCGTGCATCCCAGCGTGACCAGGGCAGAACACCCATATAATCCTTAGGAGGTGGCTGTTTGCAATGGAAACTCTCCAGTCACTGTAGAGCCACCCACTCCTGATTTTTTCTTGGGTGCTCATCAAATCTGTGATGAACAGGGCATGTTTATACGCTCCCATTCTGATCCATTCCTGCGCCCCTGTTATTGCCTTAACCTCCATTGCCATGCTCGATGTAGCGCATTCGTAGGCTCCAGACTGAAGAATTATCCTCCCGTCAACTCGAGCACTGAATACTCACCCAGATTTCTGGCCACGCTTCACTGATCCGTCGGTGAAGATGACAACATCACCCATCACCGAATGTTCCTCAAGGATGGTCACAATTTCCGCATTAGTTGCATTTGCTGGTCATGATAATAAAATATTGCCTATAATTTTTTTTCGTTCCCCTTTTTCTTCTTTTCTTTTTATATATCAACAGTTTTTGAGGCATGGGCACTTTTGAGAGTGAAGGGTGCACAAACTTTATTCATTTCGTTATGTTACGTACAATCAACATATTTAACCCTCCCCCCCCCCCCCAAAAAAAAAAAAACACAAAAAAACCCAAAAAAAACCCCAACAACAACAACCAAACAAACAAAAACCAAACAAACAAAAACCAAACAAAAACAAAAAACAAAAGCAAAAAACATTCATATATTGCTTCCTAAGGATTTTCAAATTTACGTAATTAACGATGTAATTCTTACAAAGACCATCGTTTCTTGTGTAACGGTTAGGCACTTCACACAGGAGATCCGAGTTCGATTCCCGGAAGGGGAAAAATGTTTATCCAGTATCTTGGACGTTCTCCTGGGATGTTGTATGTATGTAGTATAGGGTTTTACGGCGCTCGCAACTGCTAAGGTCATATGAGCGCGCGAAACACAAGTTGTTAACTTTCGCAAAAGTTCATTCCACGATTGGTTAACTAATTGACTTTAAAATGCTAAAATGTTAAAATATTAAAATTCAGTGTAAATATAGTTGTGATTTAAAACAATTCTTATAGGTAACAATAAACATTTTAGATAGTACGTTTTCGTTTTTCATTTTACAACTTGCCATAAAGGCCAATGGCCTTTATAAAATTCAAAATTCTGCTGGGAACAACGACGGAAAAAATATCTTGCAATTTCTTGCATTTATAATATTTCCTTCGGATCTCTCCAAAGTCTAGACATTCGGTTAAGATGTGTCTAATGGTAAAATCTCTGTCGCATCTGACATAGAACGGCTTCTCATCTCCCTGTAGGAGGTATTTGTGGGTCAGGGCCGTGTGTCCGATGCGCAATCGAGTAAAAATGACTTCGTTTCTTCTGGAGAGATCCGAAGGATTTCGCTGTTCTAGTTTGGGTTTTATTTCATATAGTTTATTATTTTTCTGGTTTTCCCAGTGGCTCTCCCACAGACTGGAGGTGCACTTTTTGACTTTATTTCTAAAGTCAGTCTGTGGGAGAGTGTTTGTCGTTGATCCCAGCAGAAGGGATGAAGCTTTCTTCTCCAGGTCGTCTACCTGCTCGCTTCCTCGGATGCCCACATGGCTGGGTATCCATGCGAACACGATGTTTTTTCTTGTTTCGGATAGTGTATGAATTTTCTGTTGTAGCCTAACTATTTTTGGATGCAAGAGTGTGTAGTTTGTGAGTGAGGTGATGCAAGACAGAGAGTCAGAAAGGATAAGGAAAGATTTGTTAGGAGAATTTTCTACAGAGTCCAGTGCCATGTCAATGGCAGTGGCCTCCGCAGTGAAAATGGAGGCTTTAGGATGGAGTCTCCTCTGGTGTGTATTGTTGGGAGATAGGGCTGCGGCGCCCACTTCATTGTCTTTTTGGGAGCCGTCCGTGAAGATGATCTTTGTATTCTGCTTTAAAAGTTTTGGTGTTTGTGCTTTCTTTGTTGTGTGTGGTTAGCTGTAAGTCTACTTTTGCCTTGGTGAGGTGCCACGGAGGGAGGTCGGGGAAAAGAATTCGTTGAATGTCTTGTTTGGAAAAGTGTAAGTTCTTGAGGTCCTCAAGGATTCTGAGGCCTATGGGTTTGATGAGTTTTTCATTGTTTTGGAATTTGTTTATGGTTTCTGGGTTTGTTTTAAAAATGCTGTTGTGCGCTGGATTTTCCGGTGTTGAGCTGTTTAACTGCATATTGTAGTGAGAGTTGTGTGCGTCTGAGTGAGAGTGGTGGTATGTTGGCCTCGGCCTGGAGGCTCTCCACCGGAGAAGTGCGGAAAGCCCCCAGAGCGAGGCGGAGTCCTTGGTTTTGTATTGGATCTAATATTTTTAAGACGTGTGGTTTTGCCGATCCGTAGACTTGACAGCCGTAGTCAAGCCTGGACCGGACAAGGGAGATGTACAAGTGGAGAAGGTGTTTTGAGTCCCCGCCCCACTCCGGATTCGATAGAATTTTCAAAGCGTTTAACGCTTTCTGGCACCTCACACGAAGGTCTTGATGTGTGGTATGAATGCGAGTTTTTTTTCGAAAATGACGCCGAGGAAACGAGCTTGGTCCTGGACGGGAATCCTTTCCCCGTATAGTGTCATATCCGGCTGCAGCACACGTCTGCCTGTTCGGCAGAAGTGTACTGCAACCGTCTTTGACGGGGAGAACTTGAAACCGTTATTGTTTGCCCACGTTTCAAGTTTGTGCAGCTGCGTTTGCAGCTGCCTTTCCATAGATCTCAAATGAGGATTTTTGAACGGCAGCATATCAAAAAGTCGTCAACGTATAACGAGCTGTCTATGCTGTTTTGGAGGGTTTTCACTATAGAATTTATTTTAATTTCAAATAGGAGAGGAGAAAGGATGCTCCCCTGGGGGACTCCTTCCTCTTGTTGGTGGGGGTCTGAAAGGGAGGATCCGACACGAACCTGGAAAAAACGGTTCTTCAGGAAGTTGCCAATGAAGGCAGGGAGGTAACCGCGTATGCCGAGTGCATGCAGGTCTCGAAGAATGCTGTACTTCCAGGCTTTTTCTAGGTAAAAAAAGATGGCGATCATGTGGCCTCTTTCAGCGAACGTCTCGCGTATAAAGGTTTCCAGGCGGACCAGGTGATCCAGAGTGGATTGTCCTGGGATGTTGTATCCCTCTCAGCTTGAGTTGGCCCTGACAGGCAAGGTTGGAAACCCTTTATGATCTAAAATGGGGGGGGGGGGTAAAATAATTTACTAAATAAGATACTTACAAGAAATTGGTATTCCTGATCAAGTCCGTACTTTTTGGTACCAGCTAAGAAATTGTTAATATTGACCAAAGCAGCCACTGGAGATGAGACTTTCTTGATATAGGTAACCTTCGACTTCCCATCAACAACCGATAGCTTGTTGATTAATCTGCACGATAGAAAAAAAAGATATAATTTCAAAGTAGACATGCCTACGTCGCCCTCGACATTTTAAGTAATGTGTATATGTACTGTCTATTTTTAAATTTGGGCTTGAAATTGAAAGGTATCATGCTAAAACGAGACTTTTAACCAAGATCAGCATTTAATAATGGATGGGTGGATGGATAGCTAGTTGGATAGCTAGATGGATAGCTAGATGACAGCTAGATGACAGCTAGATGGATGGCTAGATGGATGGCTAGATGGATGGCTAGATAGTTGGGTAGCTAAGTTGATATGTAGATGGATAGATGGAAGGATAATAGATGGATAGATGAAAGGATATATAGATGGATGGATAAGTGGGTAGATGGAATGAAATATAGATGGATAAATGGGTGGATGGAAAGATATATAGATGGGTCGATGGAAGGAGATATAAATGGACAGATGCAAGAATATATAGATGGAAAGATGGAAGGATATATAGATGGATAGATGGGTGGATGGAAAGATATATAGATTGATAGATGGGTGGATGGAAAGGTGGTAGCTAGATAGATAGCTAGATAGCAAGACAGCTAGATAGATCTTGGATAGATCGACATTAATGAATAATATAATATAAATTGACAGTCAGTTGTTTTGTACGGGTGTAGAAGTAGAAGGTTTATATAATAACAATCTAAGCCATGCCCCACCCCACCCCCCCCAAAAAAAAACGAAAAAAAAATCCCCCCCAAAACTTTTTTTATTCGAAAATTGTAAAATAAAACATCTCACCTGCACAGTATGACTCCATCTCGGAGACGCGTTAAGATTTGTTTCGGGGAAGAGTTGGACTGAAACAATGGACAGGGAGATTGAGGAAATGCTGATTGATTGATTGATTGGGTAGATGTTTTACGGCACTATCGACACAATTTTGGTCATTTAAGCGCCATCAGGTTTCACCGCTACAAAATCAGACGTGTTTTAATAAAGAGTCTTTCGGAGCTCGCAACCGCAAACGATCACACTATTTCTATTATGCTAAAAAGACGAACAAACATTTATAAAAAAAAATTGTAAATA